TTTTTTTTTTCTCGGGCCTGAAAAAACCTTGTTGCTACAACCAGTTAGTTAACACTTAGGGGGATTTCATTTCTTCTCTCTGCGCTAATAATTGGACAAACAATTTATTCCCTAGGCCCCGTTCAAAAGGTGGATAACGCTGTCTAAAGAATAAATCCCTATCCACTGGATAACGCAATTGGTTTCCTCTATACTTATCTACTGGAGAGGGCTATCAAGACTTTGAGCAACTGGGGCCTATATATCAGAGTAATCAGAGAAAAACTTGTTTCTGGAGCGTGAAAATCTCATTATATCTATAAATGACTGGCTTTGGCAGGGCTGTTTAGCCGTTTTCAGAGATATTGGAAAAAGTTACTGAGACAGAAGTTAACTGATAGTTGCCATTGTCCAGGATCAAACAATCCCTGTGGTAATGATGTTCAATCGTGGGGCTCATTTGATTAATGGCATTGACTAGGCTCGGAATACAGGCATTCTGAATCCCGCAGATATATACTCTCACAGAACAGTCAAATACGTGGGAGTAAAAAAGACGTCAAACAACCCCTCTGCTGTGGCTTTTTTTCCCCAAATCTTAGAAGGAAGTGTAAAAATAGGGAAGCATCCCTGGAAATATAAAAAGATGCTTAAATGAACTTACTTATAAAACCTTTGCTTTCGGCACTTTCGGCAAGACAATTACAAACCTTTAAATTCCAAACAAATTCTTCAACCGTAAAGTCAACCTAAAGTTAAAATGCTTATCATCTAGTCATCTAAATCGATCATGGGACATAACATGTGTAAGAAACAGAAACTTTTTCACAGCTTAAGTGACTGCCAACTTGTGTTTAGTCAGTGCCACAGTAGCGAAGGGAACAATCGCCATTGCTATTTGTACCATGAAGATAGTATACAAAATATGAACCACAATTTCGCACTTTGATGTTCGTAAACCATGTACAACAACCTCTGAAAGTCCAGTGATAACACACTTTCCTGTTAACCTGACCGTCTGGTACTGTGGGGTGTCCGCCAACTATCCAGGCGGTTGCATGAGTGCCACATCTGTTATACGGTGGACATGACGTTGGCATTCTTGTACCAGCGGACCCCTCGAAACGGAACCATCCAGGGCCGATTCCTCTATCACAGTAACTGTGGTAAAGACGGTACGTAATCTTTCTGTCAGCAGCGTTCAGACTCCCATAATTCTGGCATTCTGAGACAAAAAGGAAAACTGTTGGATTAAAATAACTTCAAGAAGTCGCTTCATAGTTTACAGTTCAATTTAAAAAGTCATTGAGTTCGACGACAAAAAAGCAACCTTAAATAACGCTCGAAGTACCATTTTAAGAAGGTTGAGTCAGGTAGCGGATGCAGAAATACGTTGCCAGATCCCGTCGTTTCTTAAGTTCATGCGGTCCATGAAACGAGTGCTTCGGAGTTAAACATGTTGAAAATCTACAGAAAATCTACTAACAAAAATCGTCAGGACATATCGCTGGTTTTTGCAGATAATCGAGCATTGCGGTCAATTCACCTTAGTCGAGCATAGTATTTGTTACAGTTCGTGGGCAAAAAAAGGATCTAGAGCTCAAAACCCTTTACACTTCTGATGCTGATCACTAATGAATTTAAAATTAGACACACTTCGCTTCCTCCCTTAATCAAATTCAAGCAAGCGAAACTAATTCACGATACCTGCCAGGGCAGGCTATTGGGCTAATTATAGATATAAACGACGGAAATTTTACTTAATGCCGACGAGCAGCCTCGCGAAGACGCGAGGCTGCGAGGCGGCAGCCTACTAGAGCCGTGCGCGATTGTTCCAGGGGCAGGAAAAAATCTCGAATCGGTGTAACATAGAGTAATGTAAGGCAACAATGACGTAATGCAGGACAGAGAATGCATTGTTTTCAGGCGAACACGTGATACAGATCAGAGAATTCACAAGTCGTGCGCGTGTTTGTGAGTCCTGTGCTCATTCCGACTTCAACCAATCGTCGGGTGGATAATTTCCATCCTACGCGGTATCTGTCGCATTTGCCCGCTGGAATTTTTTATTGCATGCCGCTAAGAAAAATAACGCAGCGAAATGCTTTGTGTCTTTGAAGCAAAATAATTCGGAAGGCTTCATTGGTGCACCATGAATTTTATTAGCTTTAAAATTTTTCGAGGATTTAAAATTTGCTTATAAGAGCACTAAATTTTACGCAAAATGACTTGTGCACAACTTCGGACAAAAACACGAACTTTAATATCTCGAAAAATTTGCCGCGTAAAGTCGCCATTTCAAATTCTTTATGCAGTGAAACAGTTTAGTTTACTATTTTCAAAAGACAAATTAAAGCAAGGGGCACACATACACCAAACCCATGATCCGCCTTCCCCGCGCATGTCGTAAGAGAACTGCCTTGCAGTTCCCAGCCAACAGCTCCCATATGTGTTGTGTAAAGCTGGCACTTAAAAAGACTCGCCTCGGCAGGAAAGGGTTTTTCCAGGTCACTGACCGACGGCTATGGCCATGCTGATGAGCCCCAGTAAGGGCAAAACAGCTGTCCATGGCTGCCACTGCCCGCGTTATATGGCTGTGCACATGCGTGAGGTAATGGCCAGGTCGTGGGTTGGTGAATGTGTGTCCCTTGCTTTAATTTGCTGATAATTTGGGATCCACCTTCGCCCAGCATGTCGTGGTAGAACTGCTGTGCGGTTCCCAGCCAACAGCTCCCACATGTGTTGTGTGGAGCTGGCGCTTGATAGACTGCTTTGCATTCACAGCAGTAAGGGGCTTATGAGACGCGGACTTTAACCTAACGGCTTTGCAACGCTGCTGGGCCCCAATAAGGACGAAACAGTTGTCTGTGGTTTCCACTGGCCGCGTAATATGGCTGTGCGCATGCGTGAGGTACTGGCTCGGCCTTGGGTTGGTCTCTTGTGCGCCTTGCTTAAGTTTGCCCTATTTTCACTGCAATCGAATTAAGTTCAGTCTATTTTCATAAATTACTGTATTTCATGACATTTTCAGCGCTCGCGTATAGGTAAAATCTTTGCTCGTTGGCACTTAGCGATAGCTATAACTAGTTCTAGTTATATAAGTACTGAGATTCATTCACAGAATGACCGCGATGAAAAAATCGGTCAGCTTTTAGTCACAGCCAATCAGCGATGCGAACGGTGAGCTTTCATTGGTGAAAAAAACATATGCATCGATCGTTCGCGGCGTCTGATTGTTATACGGTTTTTATTCACTTGTTGTGATGAATCGCAAACGAACGAGTTAGCACAGCGAACGAGTGAGTTTGCGATTCTTCACAACCCTTGAATAAATATCGTACGCACTCACCGACCATGAAGTAATCTCTATTTCCGAAACTGTATCCTCTACACTGAAGAATCACTAAAGCTCTCGTCTACTCGAATCGAGTTATTTCTAAATCCGTTCCTTTCTTTCTTCTTCCTCGTCTTTTTTTTTTTTTTGTTTTTTTTTTTTTGGCCCGAGTCCGCCTCTCGTCTGTACAAAAAACAGTGAATTTACTCATTCATCTGCGACTTATTAACGCAAAAAAATATATATATATGCGCTTTAAAAAAATTAATAATGTTTGTATTCGTGTGGACGTGGCCTAAGTTTTGGATTCCTTTACAGGGGAAACTTTCTGAAGTTTTTAATACTTTTCTCCGTTATTAGCCGTTGAAAAGACACCTACTATTGTTTTTAGGGCGACCAAGGGAATTTTTTGAATCATTCATCTATTGCTCGTTAGATAAATAAGTTGGTGAGTCTTTGTCGCGCCCAAAGGAATGAATGAAGAGTTGTGGATAAGAGGACAACAGACGTATCCTCTTACAATACATTTTAACATGTGGACAGTAAGCTCAGACGTCAGCATACAAAGGCGCTACCGGAAGCTCACATGGTAGTAGCGGCTTCTTGTAATCGATAATTAGAATGACATACGGAATTACAATGCATTATGTGAAACGTGATTGACTTATGGAAAATACAAGAACAGCTAATGCTGTTTTTGAGTTTGCCAAAATCGAGTATCACTCAGAGACATTTCAGCGCTATTTTAGCTAAAAAACCTTCAGCAAAAATGAATTCCAACGGGACGATATCGTATACATATTTTTCTACCCAAAAGTGACTAAGATGGGTTCTATAATTGGTCATAGAATAGACTATAAAGGGCACCACCCGGGATAATGTGGTTCTAACGAGTGTAAATAAGGGTCTAGTGAATGAACATTTTCTTAATTCTTAGTGATTAATTACCATATGGAATATTAATGCAGGTTTTGCCATCTCCGATGTAAGGACTGCTACATGTACAACTAAAAGATCCCACTGTGTTTGTACATGAAGCAAGAGAACTGTGGCAGTTGTGGGTACCGCTGGCGCACTCGTCTATATCTGCACAAAAGGAACAATAAAAGTAAGTGTAATCATAACCTGTATAACCGTTTTCTTTGCAAAGAGGAAACAAGTTAAACGGAATTAAGACGGAATCCATCGGGAAATTGAGTAATTGCAGTTTTCAGTGGACAAAAACCTTGCACCGGAAATAATTTAAACAATAGGGCCATTTATACGAGGAAAAATAAGACGCGTCTTAAATAAGACGCGAACTGTACCATTTATACGAACATGTCTTCTCTAAGACGAGAACAGCTCGTATAAATGGTTCGCGTCTTATTTCTGTTCTTGACTCGTTTTCATGCGAATGTTGCCTGTAGCAAAGGCAATCCAACGTGGCGCGCCAAAAATGAAACGCATGCGTACTATGCGTTCGCGTCTTATGTAAGACGCGAAGGTCATTTATACGAAGTTTTTCTCGTCTTAGCTTACACGCGTCTTATCTAAGAACAGGTGTTAAGGGCTGTTCTAACATTAGACTCGTCTTAGCCAAGCCGCGTCTTATTTTAGACGAAATGTGCCGTTAAATACGCCTCCTATATAAGACGCGTCTTATTTTTCCTCGTATAAATGGCCCTATTATCACATTCTTTTTTACATATTTCAAGGGCTGTAAATGCAATTAGTTATCTGTAATACATGTACCACCAAAGAAAATTTCTTATGACAGTCCGAGAAAATATATGTCAAATTTCACAAAAAGACATCTTACAAATAAAATTTTGAGAGTTTTACCTGTGTTTTCACAATTGTTGTGAAATTTGACATTTATTTTCGCGGGTTCCCATCGTATAACTGTATCCCTTGAAAAATGTAAAAAACGAATGCAATATTGTTAAAATTATTCTGGTACAAGGGTTTTGTCCACTGAAAATTGAAATTACTCATTTTCCTGAAGGATTCTTAATTATTTCATGCTTGATTAAAAAAAAAAAGAAATGAGCGCAGGTTTAAACAATTGATTTTGTTGCACTTATTGGACAAAAAAATCGCATTTACGCACGTCTTACGGCGTTGCGCATCTGGCCGAACTGGCCCCTGTTGTTCAAAAGATGGATCTGACCCATTTCCTCGACAAATCTCTATCCAGTGGATAGCGCAATTGATCCCTAATACTTATCTACTGAACAGTGATTTATCCCTTGGATGGCGCTATCCCGCTTTTGTACAACCGGCGCCAGTACTTCACTTTTATTTATTGCTTACATTATCTGTCTGCTTGATATCGGTTGTCTGTTCGCTTACTCCAAGCGGTCATTTTTACAGTAATTTTTTCCCTTCTAACCAAAAACTTTATTGGAAGGGCAAAAAGAGTACAAATAAAGAATTTTGTATTGCTGTTGTTCCCGGTTTACTTTAAAAAAAAAACAAACAAATATTTTACATTAGACTTAAACGGCTCACCAGTGCAGGTGTTTCCATCGCCTGTGAATCCTGCTTTACATGCGCATGCGTAAGATCCCGCATTATTGCTACACACCGCATTAACGTCACAACTGTGAGAGTTGGTAGAGCACTCGTCGATACCTAGCGAAAAAAGTGAGGATCGAAACCTTCTCGTAAGTCATGCAACGAATCCTGTGATCAGTAAGGTCATATATTCTTGTTTACGCTGTGTTATTAATCCCACTTAACTACAAATGCCTTGTAGCAAAATATTAAGAGTGAGACATAGTATGGAATAACAAAAAACAGGGAGTATTCCTTGCTTAAATGCATAACGAGCCAAAGCGATTTTCATAACATATAATACGGGCAAAGTGCCCCTATTAGCTCAGTTGCAATACCATTAAATATTTTTTGGTAAAAGTGACCCCGGCGGAGGCTATCATACTTATTTATATTTACTTGTTTTCTGCAACTTCTTTTAAACTTGTTTTGTTTTGTTTTACTTGAATTGAAATTTTATATCATTTATGTCATGTCCATCTTTTTTTCTTTTTCTTTTTCTTTTTTCTTGACATTTTTTTCATGTACTGAGCGAATAGAGCAAATAGAGGGGCATAGAATCACATTTACATCGTTTTGAAAGTCAATTTTGACATTGCCACAGCAGCTTACCGGAGCAAGTTTTTCCATCGCCTGTAAATCCTGCTTTACACGCGCATGCGTACGATCCAGCCGTATTGCTACACACCGCATTGACGTCACAGCTGTGAGAGTTGGTAGAACACTCGTCGATATCTGCATGAGAACGCGTAAATTGCGAAGAGCGTTAGAATCACTGATATTTTACCTATAAGGTCGTGTATTCATTTGTTTGTTGTTTTTACAAAATTTGGTTTTAGGCTTTTTACCAAACACGACATGTACTAACGACATGACAGTGTTGAGCTTGTCTTCTTTAATTATTACCGTCGATCCTCCTTTAGCGACCACCCAAAATACGAACATTTAGTGGTCCCTTACGGGAGACGGTCGCTTGCGAGGATCGGACAACAGGTGGATATTTCCGATTAGTCAGCCTCCAGAGTGTTTTCCATCTACTTAGTACCTAATTTCCCAGGGATTTGAGAAATGAAATTTCTTTCTCCCAGAACAGCATGCCTTCTACTTTATCATGCAGCTGTGGTGCCATATTTACTGTAATCGATGGCACCAGACAAAGCAGATGGCGGCGTGGCGATCTTTGTCAGATGATGATTAAGGGGTCGAGAAGAGGAATAGCTACAGTCTTCTTGTAATCATCGATTGGTGTGGAACTTATATTATAACTTATCATACTATTTTTTGGTAAGGGATAGACCTGGGTAGTCAGACAAGTTTGAAAACTTCCCTAGGGGGAGGAGGAAGTTACAACCCAGTCAACCCTCCCCCTGGATCCGCCTCTTTAGTCTCACAGGAAGGTTCGACTGTATTTAAATACCATTGCAAGGTTTTCCATCTCCTGTGTACCCAGCATTACACGAGCATTTGTATGAACCCACGGTATTCTGGCAAACAGAATTGACGTCACAGGAATCCGAACCAGTGGTACATTCATCCAAGTCTATGAAAGAAAGCACGCAGAGACGTCTTGTAGAAACGAAATGACTTTTTTAGTTAATGAAGCTTGTTTAAAAAGTACAGTTTCATATACTGTAGGGTATTTGGGTAATTAACGCGCACCAGCAAGGGAAGATAAAATGTCAGAAGGAAGGAACATGCGAAAAAGGGTCGTTAGCTATACCCTGTACTCACTTTTGTTAAACATGTGGAAAGTAGTGTCTTGAAAAGTAAATAGAGGTCAGCACGACTTTTCTCGTCGTTACAGTGGAAAATAGGGACCTTACGATCCGACAACGGCTACGTCCATGAGAACCTCGCTGAAAAGTAGACTCCGCATCCTTTCAAACCATTTTGCGATTATTCCAAGTCTTCCAGTTACTTAAAAGAAGGGAATTTATGTTGGAGCTGGAGAGGGGGCCGCACCCGATTTCAGACCGGGATGGTAGAATTTATCGCCTTGCCGTTCCCGTCCTCAAAAAACCTTGAGGTCATTTCACGCCGTAGTCGTGCACGGAAGGCAAAGAAATGTTACAGTACAAAAAAGCATATGCACGTGCAGAGTTGTTGTTTTGGTAACTAAACCTATTGCCGGCTTTTTGACGTTGCCGTCGCCGTAGCCGTCGCCGTAGTTGTCGTAG